CTTCGAAAAAAGAAGAAATCTTGATACTAGCAGGTGTGCCTTGTATTGCTGGCCTGCCTAGACACAATACTAGCTATAACACTCTTTCGTGTGCATACGTAAAGAATTTTGTGATGGGACTGTTGGAAAAATGTGTTAAAATTGCATTAAATGGTCTTTTTGGGGCAATTATTTGAGTGAGGTCCACTTCCGATTTCGGTCGGGTCAAAGTGGTTTCGGATTGTCCTTGTTAAGGGCTACAATTCGATATATGGTACACTCAAAACGGATAACGGGTGAATGAGAAATTGATTCTCGAAGTTCACTCGTTGAAATGGAAAAACTGGGAAAATGGTGAGTTTCTAGTGTGTCTTATCCCACACCGAAAAACTCAAGAGATTTTCACCCCCTTATAAAGGGAAGCCTCTTTTAAGGAGTTAAGATTTCTAAAGGGAAAGGCTCTCTCTTACGCGCGGGGGGGTGCCGATCAAATTCCGAAACGGAGAAGAAAAACCGCGACTCGTGTGCGCGGGCGACCTGCGGACACGAATGTCGTCCGAAAACCTATCATTCAAAGATACGGTCTAAGTTTTGTTTCTTCCCGTAACGTTTTATTTTTTCCCAGGATCAGAGTTGCTCGAACTCTGGTGGCTTCGGATCAGAGTTGCTCGAACTCTGGTGGCTTCGGACCAGAGTTGTGGCTTCGGATCAGAGTTGCTCGAACTCTGGTGGCTTCGGATCAGAGTTGCTCGAACTCTGGTGGCTTCGCATCAGAGTTGCTCCAACTCTGGTGGAGGTCTTCTGGTAGCATCAGAACTGCTCCAACTCTGGTGGGGGTATTCTGATCGCGCACCAGAACTGCTCCAAGCCGTTACAACCATTAAATGCCCAACGTTCTTGTCTTTTAATGCAACGTTAAATGGACAGTTTATGGATGATTCAATGCCCAACGGACTGGTCATTGAAGTCCAACGTTCAGGTCCATTAACACCCCATTTAACACACAACAAATCCTCCCGTAAATTGCTGGCAGGTGGTTTGCAACAACACAAGGCACAATACATTCCTCACGAATTTCTTGAGCTAAAAACACCTAAAGCTACTCAGCAAACTTCCTTCTGTGTTCATACTTGGTTCTCGTTCGCTGGAACTCTTGTTTGTGTGCTCAAACATTAGTTCGTAGTCATCGTATCCTGGGAAACGATTGTTGCAACGCTCCTAGCACCGTGGGAGGCATCAAATACGTTTTAAGGAAATCGTGCGTAGCACGAACTTTGACTAATTCTGCTTCATCTCCTTTCCTGTTTTTCTTTAATCATTTTATTTAATTAATTTATTTTAATTAATTAATTTTCTTTATTTTCCGAAACACACCCAACAGGGACAATAATCTATCAACTCATCAGTAACTTCAAGCTGAGTTAAGTATTGCCGGAAAACAGAATTTATTACTCAGCCAATCGCATGGAGACAATTCAAAAAGGAAATATTGCACTTAAGGATCATATGGGGTTTGTATGAACCATTTTATTTCTATTACGAATTTTATCATTTTATTAGAAATTCTGAATTCTTCTTTTAATTTTTTGTAGGTATTTAAAGAATAGAAGTTGGAGCAGTACCGTCGGATGATTACTTTGTGACTTTGTATTCACTTTTCCATATAGTTCATGAGACATGTTTGACAATTAAGTATGGCAATTTGATTTAGATTATGAGGATTATTACTATATTGTGTCAACTTATTATTATTGTTATATGTAAAAGATTTTTAATTTTTTGATCATGGAATTTATTGGAAAATTAGAAGTTAGTGATATGTTGTTGAATGTACAAGTAACTGAATTTGTTTCATGTAATTATAATGAATGACAAAATATTACAATGATATTACGAATTGAAATTGTGAAAAATAATATTTATATATAGGGAGATATGTTTAAGTGAGGTTTGTATGTGCGTTGGTTGTTATTAAAACATTGTCATTATTTGATAATTCATACGTAATGATGCTAATAAAGAGTATTAAACTTAATGATGGTTGAATATCTTGTCGTTTTTATATGACAATGAACAATTATGTTGTCGTTAAAATATAACGACGAGTGAATATCTCGTCGTTAATAAGTAACGATGACATCTTATGTCGTCGTTAATTATTAATGACGAACATTGTCGCTAAAACCAATAACGACGGAACCTGTAACGACCACTTGACGATGAAGAAAAAGTCGTCGTTAAAAGCATTAACGACAAACTTTTGAGCCTATAACGACCACCCAGCTTTGATTCAATGACATACATCTCCATCTAATTTATCATCCTTCTGAATTATGGAGCCCAAGTAACAGAACATATCACACATCAGTATCTTTTTACTATCAAAGGTAATTTCACTGTTGCTACTACTTCTACCTCCACCAAACTTGCACTCTATATACTCAGTTTTGCTTCGGCTCGCTCTGAAACCCTTGGTCTCCAATGTAACACCCCGGCCCCGTAGGCCCTGAGGTAGTTACTTCTGAACTTTAGTACTGTCCTCACAAACCACCACTAGCCTTTTCCGCGCACTTTGTCCTCACTCGTGCGCGCCCTGAGAAACTTCCCAAGGGGTCACCCATCCCAAGACTACTCCCGTGCAAGCACGCTTAACTTTGGAGTTCTTGGCTAATGAGTTCCCTTAAAAGGAGATGCACCTTGTTGGCATGAGTAGTACTATTAATCCGTTTAAATTAAATCTCAAGTGTTACATCCAATGTTTGTCGTTATACTTCCAACTTTGCTTTAACACCGGATTGTGTCTTATCAATCAATACAATATCGTCGGCAAACATCATGCACCATAGTATATCTTCTTGAATTGACTTCGTAAATTCATCCATGACTATAGCAAATAAGAAAGGACTCAAATAGTAGATCCTTGGTGCACTTCGATTGTAATAGGGAACTCTGCGGTCCTCCTTACACTAGTGCGAACACTTGTAGTATAAGCATCATACATATCCATGATGATACTGACAATCTGATATACTTACGTGAAATGCCTTTTCTAGTTAAAGCCTACCAAAGTTCTTCTCGAGGTGCCCGATCATATGCCTTTTCTAAGTTAATGAACACCAAATGCAGATCCTTTTTTATGTCTCTATACTTCTCCACAACTTGTCTAAGAAGGTGAATGACCTCAGTTGTTGAGGGTCCAGGCATAAAGCCAAATCGATTCTCCGAAATTTTCACACTTTTACGAAGTCTTTGCTCAACCACTCGCTCACAAGGTTTCATGGTGTGACTCATATGCTTAATCCCTCGATAGTTGGCACATTCTTGTACATCACCCTTATTTTTAAATAGGGGAATGAGAGTACTCTTTCGCCAACTCACTGACATTTTGTTGTTTCTCCAAATAATGTGTAAGAAATGTGTTAGCCACTAAGGGGCGTAGACAGGACCGATGTTTACCCTGAGCCGACTATACACGAAAAACATTATATAAAAAATTTAAAAGCGACAACAGTGTGAACATAACGATTAAAATCCATTAAAATTCATAGTAATATTTTAAACAATACATACATTGAAACGAAAGCATTAACTGAACACGACGCTCTTTGACCTTAGCAAACTCATCTATGACAGATTCAACGTCGATTTTGTTGGCAAATTCGTTTTCAATAACGATGGTCAAACGATCAACAAGAGTGTTTCAAGTGCATTAGAAATTACTTCCTCTTGAGCAGGGGCAGAAAGTCACAATGGGGTGGGTTTGGGAAAAAATTGAAATACACATACATAATAATAAGTCAAGTCGTCAACACTTTAAATATTCATCAAATTAAAACATCATTTAAATTGTGCCCTACGCGACTTCAAAGTATAAAATTCATCAATAATAGAATATACATTAACATCTATATTATTGACTTTCAGAAAGAATGATGAAATCAACTTATTTCCTTTCTTGGCAATGTGTTCACTATCCATTTTAAAAAACATTTCTATTACCGGTATAAATTAAAATACTTATATAAAAATATAACTAATAAGGAAAAAACAAACATTTTACACTTGTACATAAAACTAATAAGTATTCTCAATTTTCAATTGTATAATAACTAAATTATTTTCTACTCTTTAATTCTATCTTTAATCATTATAAATTTATAATGAATTAAACACTACTTAATTATGTACTGAAAAATTCAATTAATAATCATAATGATTCACTAACCCTAAAACTCTAAAATGCTAAAAATAATACGGAGTAATAGATTAATACACAATCACACATTCACAATTGGAGCAAATAACACATTCACACAATCACACATAATAGATTAATGCTAAAAATTCAATTTCTGCAAGTTGGCAAAAGCAATTGGAGTTTACCTGGAGGCTGGAGCCGGCTGGACTGCTTGAGGGAGGTGCAGGGGCCGAGCAGTGGAGTTTATTTGCAATGGGCCATACACTGGGCTAGTATTTCATTTGCACTGGGCCAATTCTAAATATTTTTTAAAATTCATATATAATACAAAAAAATTACACTGGGCCATGGCCCAACCTGGCCCACCCCTCCCTCCGCCCCTATAGCCACTCGATACTTTTCTCTCCCAAACCTCTCCAAGTCTCGATCGGTTTGTCATTTGGGTCCACTGCTTTCTTCCGCCCCATTTTTCTCATAGTCTCTTTAACTTTTTTGTTTGAATTGTTCTCACGAATTCCTGATTTAGCATACATTATGGTAGAGTAAGATCATCAATACTTGCACTTTATTCTCGTTGTTGAAGAAAATTTGATATATAAAATAAAAGATTAAGTGATTTAGATCGATGAAGTAAATAGTGAACGAGAAATTTGTTTGGAGAGAGAAGTATCATTTTTGACAAAATGAGATTGCCGATAACTTCAATTGACATCATCATCGCGTAAGCCAAAGCAAGTAGGCTTACAATTCAGCATTTGGCTGCCATGCATGCCTCCATCCTGGAGTAATTAATATCCAACACATCTCTCCCACGGACGCGTGTCTAAATTCCACGTCTCTAGCTACGCCTACGTGACATGAACATATACTCCCATCCCAGCCCGGCCGGCCTTCTTTATATCCTCCGAATCGGAACACGCACTATATATATACTCGATCTTCAATGTTCACTATACTTGATTAAATCAACGACCCAGCAAGCTAAATAAATGGCATATGTGGCGGAGAATGTGGGCGGGCAGACGGTGACGCCGCCGGGGGAGGCGATGACGGTGGGGCAACACGTTGTAGACAAAAGCGCTATGATGTTGCAATCGCTGAGGCCGATCAAAGAGATGAAGCAGCACGTGTGCACCTTCGCTCTCTACAGCCATGACATGAACCGTCAAATCGAGACTCACCACTACGCCACCCGTCTTAACCAGCATTTCCTTCAGTGCGCTGTCTACGACTCCGATCACTCCCCCGCCCGCCTTATCGGTATGTATCTGTACACGGTTGTGGTGGTGTGGGTGAAATTAATGGTTTCTAACATACAATATCATTCAACTTTCCGGGCATAAATTTTACATGGCGATCATGTGTAGAGTCACCCTCGTGACATGAATTCATGTACAAAACCCTTTTATGAACAATTTTAACCGCCAAATAAATGAAAATGAATAGTATTTTTGTATATTTTAAAATTTTAAACAAAGTTACTTGCATATTACATCATATTATTAAGAAAAGTAATTTCAAAATTGTAAAATTTGTTTTTTGATGAGGTTTTGCACATGACTAATTATAACACAAGGGAGTGACACATTTTTTTCATAGGGGTTATTACGCCGAATTTATATTTCACAAGGGAGTTTTGTGCATCAAGCCGAATTTAAAGTGACGTGGACTTAACGCATAGAATTTCAGCCGTAACATATGATTTTTTTGATCGAAAATTTGAATAATATTATAAGTTGAAACACTTATGTATAATTATATACTAATTTGATTCATTTAAGAGTTAAGTATCAACACACTCGTACAAGATACCATGTATATGCATAAGTCCACGGTGGTGCATCCCGAAATTTGAGTCGCAGTCCGAAATTATTATCAACGCTGAAAATTTTAATTCAATTAAAAACGTCCTTATTAATGGCGATGAAATAATAAGTAAAATGTAAAATCTTACTATTAAAAGTATGTACTCCATATTTCATACCAAGTTGAATGAGGAATATTAAAAATTATATTTTGAGGCGCATAATAAAGTAATTTAGAGGACATGAAAATAATTAAGAAGCTTCTCTATGAATTCTTTAAAATCGGGTTCATAACAATTATTCTTAGTAGAGAAGCTTATGTAGAAGACCATTTATACTACTTTTCATATAATTTTTATTTATTTAACAAATGGAATATTATTTTTTTCATGATTCGGGATATTCACCTATTTAACCTATTCAGCTAGAATTTAATTAATTTCAGCAAAATAAACCGATTTCACCAATATTAGTATTATCAAACAGACTCTATTTAGACTGAGTTTATTTTGCTTTTGCGTCACATTATATATGATTCTGAAAACCCATCAAATTTTAAATTAGATAAATTACATACCGTCCGTGCATCGCACAGGGCTTGAAACCTAGTCACATAAAATAGAAATTGCTTAATATGGGATTAAAGCATATACAAAGTTCAAAAATAAGACCAAGTATGTTTTATTTTTCAAATAGGACATATTTAGTCATATTAAAACAATAAATGGATTAAAATAGAAGTGAATGAGTCCTATTTTGAGATTAAAACAAAGAAAATCCTATTTATGAACATAATTTTTGTTTTAGTCCTATTTAGAGAATTATTTATCGTTTATTAGTTAGATAAAAATGTGATTTTAAACAAATTTAGATCTTTGAAATTGGATAAATTTAGATAAACACACAGAACAAAAAAAACATAATCATTGCCCATTGCCCACCTACTTGAAAGCTAATAAGTCATTCCATTACTTTACCCCACAAATCACTTGATCAACACAGATCATTTTTAATCTTTTACTTTATAAATCAAATTTTTTGTAAATTTGATTTTGGTTTTTGCGACTTTGTAAAGCTTTTAATGCCTTCTGGAAATGTTTTGAGTGTCGACAGAGATCCGTTTGCTTTATCGTTTGCGTTATCGTTAGTTAAACATCGTAACTTAATCATAATAACTTAATCATTAAATGCAAATTGAACATACATTCCATTGACAATATTAAAAATACTAATATAATCAATACACTTAATTAAGTTGTCACATTTTATAAACAACCTTTAATATAGTCACAAATTAATAAATATTAATTCGTGTAAGGATCACAAATTTAAGTATATTTTGGTCTACGGCTCTCATAATCCTATAAATTAATAAAAATTAGTTCGCTAACTCCCAGGGACGGAGCCAGAATTTTGAGTCAAGGAAACGAAAATTTTCGGTTAGTGTAGGAGGTAAAAAAAATGACTAGTGTACGGGGTGATTTTTTTTGCTAGTGTAGCGGAGCGAAAATTTTTCACTAGTGTAAGCCTCTGCGGCTATATTTATTCAAAAATTTCATTAATACATACACGATGATATTTCAATCTATATGTTACATTCTAAGTTTAGACAATGGCAAAATAACTTTACTTTTATAATTGGAGTGTTATACAAAAAAGTATTCTTACATTAAAGTGTAAGAAATGGAAAATCAAAGGAAAATAATTTGAAAATAAAAAAGGATATATAACATTTTATTTAAAGATAGTTTATCAGGTACACATACACCAATACTTTTAAAATAACTTTTAAAAATAACTTTAACATTGTTTAACTAGATGAATCTTATAGAAATAAAGAATTGGTTTTTGAATTGCATTTTTTGTCTACCAAATAGGATGTTCATGAGTCACGAGGAGTTTTGATTTCTTAATATTACAATAGTATGTATGAGATTATTATTTTTAGAATAAAATTATATTGCTAATTTATATAATATATATAGTGCATATTATATTTGCCAAAATAACTAGCAATGAAGTATTTTTGGAACGTAAGAAGTAAATGAATTGTGTAATTTAATTCAATAGATATTTGTAAGTTGAATTTGATCTAAAAACCGTGTAATATACATTTTACAACTAGTGTGTCTGGTATTTAATATCGTTTAATATACATTTTACAACATCGTTTACTAGTTATCTAATTAAGATAATTAAACATTACAAAACTAAGAATATTTATATACTAAAAATCCTAAATCTTGAACAATGAGTTGTTCTTTTTTTTTGAACAATGAGTTGTTCTATTGTTTATTATTGTCTAAATTATTTTAGATGTTCCTTCTTTTGAATCTCTAATTAAGTATTACATTATGTAAGACTATATATTAATTTTAAAATCTAAAAGTTAAGGGGGCGAATCTAATTAAAGTATGAAAATTTTATGAAAATATTACATATACAATAGAAAATTTTTAATAATGGGATTGGCTTAAATTTTTGGTCAATTCGCATATATTTTTTCATACAAAAGAAGTTTGGAAATGAATTCTCACACAGATTTCACAAGAGTCCTTGAATCTTTGTCAAATCTATTATAAAAAAATCCATGTATTTAAACATCATTTTGTGTCGAGATACTTGACATCTAATCATGACAAAGAATCACTGACTATCCAGTTTTGCTATTCATTCATCCAAAAGAAGGTTGAATCCCCAATCCAAAGGGCCCCCACGCCCCCGATCCAACAACACTTTTGTGAGGATATTGGTCACAGTTACTCAGTCAGTCCAATGGTGCTAGACCTTTTATCCGTTCGCACCAGAGGTCCAGCCCTGCACGTAGGAGCTGTAACTTCCACATGGTCGCTACGAGATTCGATCCTTGATCATTCTTCCAACTTTCTCACCACTCAATCAACTGAGCTACCCGTGCGGGTTCAATTTTCAGTTTTACTGTACAATACTCCTTATTAGTTTCTTGTAATTTCAAAATTGTAAGTTTTAACTATTTGTACTAGGGGTGCAAACGAGGCGAGCCGAGCCGGAACATGGTTATGCTTGAGCTTGAGATTGATTAGAATTCACGAGCTCGAGCTCGATCTCGAGCTTGGACGAGTTAAATAATCCGGGTTCGAACTCAAGCCGAGCTCAGCTCGAGCTCCACTCGAGCCGAGCTCAGCTTGAGCTCCACTCGAGCTCAATTCGAGTCGTGTCCTACAGATCGAGGTGGTAGCTAGTTACTTCCTAAGTAGACATGACACCGCAATAAATTTCTCAATTAAATATACAATACTACACATGTGTAGTAAGTATAAAATATCGAATGAGAAATGCATTAGGTTTGTGTGAAACAAAAATATGCAATATGACGATATGAAATTGTGTTTTATCTTAACCATAATCATAATTCATAAGTGTGCACGTTATGAATCAGAATGTTCATCGTTTCGCGTCGTTCTTATTTCTCACGGGAAGAATCACATGTTCTCATCATTACAATTGGAATTTTGATCACATGAGTGGCTTGGCTCATTTACACCCCTAATTTGTACTAATCTAAATATTATTAGGAAAAAGTGTCCTAAAATATACACTATAAACTAAATCACAACGTCATTTCAAATACAATGAATGAACTACTTCATTTCTATTTCATATTATTTTTATCTTGTTTTTGTAAATAAACGTTTTTGTTGGGATTAGAAAATTTTTCTATTCAATATCAACAAAAAAATTACAATAGGAGGAGCAAAATCTCACACTCAACTATTCCAAAAAAGCAATCCTCACTAATACACTTCTACTCTGAGTGTATTTCACTCTTCACACACTTTTCTCACTTTAGAAACTGATGACCATTAACAACAATAGACTTCCTATTTATAGGTGTATATGGGAGACATGATGAAGTTGCATCCAAGCTTTCATTCACATGGCAAGGGAGTTTCCTAGCAATCTTCTCCATATTTTTTCCCATGTTCATTTGTTGGATAGCTCCTTCCTAAAGGTGTTATATGTCTCTTGGCGACTTCCAAGAAAGAGGTTGGAAGACCCTACAAATCTCCCCCTCCACCTTTTTCTTTATTCTCTCGTTCCTGCGATTCTCGCTGGCTCACCCTCGCTGGCAACGAGTATCCATTCGGATGTGGAGTATTTTCTCTGTGGAACTATGCCTCGCATAGAACGTCGAACATGAGTACCTTCAGCTTCGTCTTCAGATGAAGGCTCCCCTGCTGAGGAATATCATCAATGAGGAATATCATCACTGTGCTGAGGAAGACCCTGGAATTGATTGGTGTGTTCTAACACCAAAATACCACCTCGTAACTTGTAGTTTACTAATCGCCTCATTACTAACGTCTTATTTCAGGCGGTTTTTGCTTGATACATGCTACCAAGTTTCTTCAATAGTGTGTAAGCACTGTTCTTTAGCAACATGATGGAACACATTATGATCGATCCACTGCTGAATTTGTGCAACAGTTTTTTGATTCATTTTTGTCCATTCTTCATCTGTCTTCTTATCCGGTTTGACGCTATTATTATGAAGAGGATCGCCTAAATCCCTCAAATTTAGCAAATCCTCCATCCGAGGTTTCCACATATTTTAGTTTGTGGAAGTGAGCGTAATCAAGGTGTCTGATGATGATTTATCCATAATAAAACGCCAAATATATCGCGTACCTTATTTTCGAAGCCTAATTTGGATAAACGAAGCTCACCATTGGATCCAGAATGGTCGAAAATGGTAGGAACTGATCTGACCTCGTCCAAAATCGGTCTGGAAGGCGTTTGAACCGCACTCCACAAATATGAACCGGTCCGGTCGAGGCAACAACCCAGTTGCAGACACGTAGGCAAATGACGTGGCAGCAGCTGGCTCTGCGCTGGCAACAACGTGGCAGCTGACATGGCAACTGAGGCGGCATGAATTGCATACTGTTGGGATGATGTGGCTTCCGACGTGGAATGGCTCAGCGTGATGTGGCGCTGACGTGGACGACACATGTTGTTGACGTGGCAACTGACTGGTCATCTTCAACCTCGGAATTGCGCGTGCAGGCGCGTGCAACGGTGCTTCTCCTCCTGCTGGCGCGTGCGGAGGCTTGTGGTGGCTATTCGGTCGCCGAAAAATACCAGAATTTTCCCCTCGGCGAGACGAACCCGATGGTATTATAAGATCGTGATTCCGAGCAACTTCAAAAATCACGATTTTCTAACCTGTAGAATTTTTTCTAAAAAATGACAAAACGTGTATGGAAATTGAACCTCGCTCTTATACCACTTGTTAGGATTGGAAAATTCTTCTATTCAATATCATGAATAGAATTACAATAGGAGGAACAAACTCTCACACTCAACTATTACAAAAAATCAATCCTCACTATTCACTAATACACTTCTACTCTAAATGTATTTCACTCTTCACACACTTTTCCCACTTTAGAAACTGATGATCATGAACAACAATAGACTCCCTATTTATAGGTGTATATGGGAGAAATGAGGAAGTGACATCCAAGCTTCCATTCACATGGCAGGAGAGTTTCCTAGCCATCTTCTCCATATCTTCTCTCATGTTCATTTGTTGGATAACTCCTTCCTAGAAGGTGTTATATGTCTCTTGTCAACTTCCAAGAAAGAGGGTGGAAGATCCCTACAGTTTTTTATTTCAAATTGTCATTTTAGCTAGGCAACAATCGAGATAAAAAGATCTTGTTTTGGGTGTGAGTTTAACTCATTGAACACAGACATGAGTATTTTCCGTAGCTTTTAGCCGTTTCCATAATGCCTAGGCATAAAATTCGTCTAAGAGCTATTACTACAAAATGGATCAAATTAATTAGAAGCATGGACAACAGTTTATAGCTTAAATAGACAACAATTTATAATCTAAATAATATTACTTATTTTCGGGATTGGAAGAGCCTCTTGCCCCTAGTCCCCCTTAGACTTTCCAATATAAGTCTTCGAACTAACTTAAAAGGTGCAGATCACTCCTTATATAAGAGGCTCTGAATGACCGCCATCATTTGGGACGGTTCTTGGTGAAATGTTTTGATGAATTTTTTTGAGCATCTTCTTCATTAAGTCTAGTTTACCCATACTAAATTTCAGATAAAAATTCAACCAGGAAGGCAGTCAAATGATTTTCTTACATGTACTGCGCTGTTTAACTACGCAGTTATCTTCAAAAAATCATTTGTCTGCCTTCCCGATTGAATTTTTAGCTGAAATTTGGTATGAGTAAACTAGACTTAATGAAGAAGATGCTCAAAAAATTTAATCAAAAAATTCACCTGGAACCGCCCCAAATAGTGACGTACGAACAGAGCCTCCTATATAAGGGGTTATTTGCACTTTTAAGTTAGTTCAAGGACCTATTTGACCTTTCCCTTTATTTAGATATAATATGGATTTCCCATAAAAACGGCCATAAAGTATCTCAAAGGCATAACACTCGTTTATATTAGTTTGTAACAACTCATAATTTCTACAATTTAGAATTGATACATAGTGTGGTTATTTAAAAACAGTTTCATCCAAAACATTCTGGAATGTCTAAATGCGACTCAAGTAACTTAGGATGTCTTCTTTTTGACTGAAATTTACTGCCTTGATCTTGTTTGGTTGTTTAAGTTTGGTTTGATCTGAACTTATTTGATCCGGTTTGGTAAATGTCTGGTCTCTGTGTATTTTATAAGTGTTCAAGTCAGATATGCATAAGTTTTGTCTTATCTGAATTGATCTGGGACCAAAGCTCATTTGATCCAGAAATCCAGCTAGATTCTAATCCTTGAACCCAAAATGGAATCCAACCCTTACGCAGTGTAACTGGGTTCTAATGTCTTGTAAAAGACTAGCTAGGTTCTAAATAGTCCACTCACTCAGCTCTAATTTGATTATTAATAAGAAAATTTCTTATACAGGAGTAAAACAAATATTAAGTTCATAAATAGTACCTCAAATTATTCACTCCTATTTTGGGAAGTTTCAATTAACTTGTTCTTTTAATATGACCAAATAAGTCTAGCTTATTTGGAGAATAAAACATACTTGGATTTATTTTTGAATTATATGTATATTTTAGTGGTATATTGAGCAATTTGTAATTATTGAATACAATGTCGTCGTGGATATCTTTTAAATTTTCAAAGCCATCTATCCTACACAAATAACATCTAAAATAGTTGTGTGTGTCCCATAATCAACTTTTGTTTTAACTTTACATGTGTTAAAAATGTGAATATTATTTGGTCAAAAGTTGGGCAAAGGAGAGAAAATAATTTGAACAAAGAATTCTTTAATATCATTAAACGAAAAAGAAGTCTAGAAGACGTTTATATTGAGATAGACAAAAAAGTAAAGAATAAAGTTTATTTTAGGAGGGAGGGCTAAGTGTGTTGTCTATAAAGAAGAACTATAAATCCTAGGTAATCATATCTAATTTATCTCGGATCGAGAATAGATGCTTGAACATTTCCTACAAATAATCTACAGAAGAAGTCTTAACGGATTCAATTCATGTTATTTTTACAGGAGTGGAGTATATAATATCTGAGAACATCTATGAGACTTTGTCTAAAGATGAACAAAAGTTGTGGCATTCTCATGCTTATGAGGTGTGTACTTTGTAACTTTGTTATAATTATTATAAATGTGCAGCGATGTATCATGTAATATAATTTCGTATATTAATTATGTTCTAAGTTAGGGTGTAACATTGATGGAACCAGAAGCGTATCCACTAATGGGAGCAGTATGAGCAGTTGTCCCCCCTTCAAGCCCAACCCACTCCTTAATTATATATATCTAAAATTTTATAGGAAATGACTCAAAATAAGAGTTCAACAACAACAACAACATCCAAGTCATAGTCCCAAAAGATATTGGGGTCGGCTAACATGAATCAATACATGATATCACCACTAAAAGAAAAAGAAAGAAAATAAAGATAAAAAAGATAAGCTATTATAAAAAGATAATATAAAAAGAGATGAATATACATAAAAATGATAAAATAAAAAGGATACAAATAATGCTTATATATAAGGATAAAAAATAAGGCAGAAAAGATGAGGGGAAAAGATGATACGAGATCACTCCTCCACATGAATACCCGCCCTCCGGTTAACTCTTTCCAAAGTCATGCCCTCCTCATCCAACCCCAGAAGAAGCATATCACTTTATCTAAACTAAGAGTTAAATAAAGGAAAATTTCTAAAATAGAATTAAGAGTGTTTTACTTCCTAAATATAAGATTTATGTAATCTTATTAAAAGAATAAAATGATAATATTACTAGGTTTTGGTGTGTTTATTATCTCAAATTTTATTTTCAATGCCTCTTTACGCGCACACAATATAAATTGATCTCCTTTTTATACATACTTGTACGTACGTGCATATCTTAACGGGGGTTAATGGAGTGTGCCCCTATGCATGCATATCTTAATGGAGTTAATGGAGTGTAATTTTGCATGCCCTTAGGTTTAGAGGTGGAAATAGGTCAGACCAGACCAAACATTTACCTAGCTAAATAGGCCGGACACGTTTAAGTATGTTTAGGTATGTTTAGGCCTAAATCTGGCTTGTTTTTGAGAGCCTTACCTATTAAAAATTTTGGCTTGGACTTCTGCCTATTTACTAAGCTTGTTAATATAAAAATTAACCAGAAAAGTTTTAAATTATATTTTTTTAAACACGATATAGAGTATCCTCAAAGCTAGTCAGTAAAAATCTAATAAAACGTTAGTCATGTAGCTTATAAATTTCTCTGTACTTCAAATCCTGAAATACTTTAAATATCAATGACCTTAAAAACATAATGACACACTGTATATATTTAAAAGGGAAACTCACGCTTTTAGTCTCTGAAATAGTCATCACATTGAAATGTCAGACCCGTATTTCAGATATTGTTAAATGTTAGTCCTCAATTGTACATTTCACCCCTCAAAGGATCACATTTACAGCAATTTGGAAAATTGAGGGATGACATTTATAAAATCGGGAACACGGGTCTTACATTTCAATATGGTGACTATTGGAGGGACTAAAAGTGCGATTTTCCTGTTTAAAATAGTATTCTAATTCATAAAAAAAATTGTGGTTAATTTTTTATAATTAAAAATGTTTATATAAACATAAATGTAATAACATAAATCAACATAAATATAATTATATATATACAAACTATATATATACACGGAATTTTCGGATGAAATTTTGTAAGCATATTGTTCATGAAGTTCGTATTATGTTCACCAAATCTCAACTTAAATTTCATTAGGAAAGTCAATTAAATAAATTATTTTGAATCTTCAAGCCAATATATATATATATATATATATATATATATATATATATATTAACGTCAATTTTATTTAACCTAAACTTTGGTGTATATAACGTAGGGGCGGGGCGGGTACTGCAATGGGTCGGGGCGGGCGGGTACATCCACTCCCGTGACACGCACGGGTCCAAACTTGTTGACCCATGTCCCGCCTCATGCGGGACGGCTCTGCATGAAGTTGTTACCACTTAGTCTACATAAAGTTTATCTTTAAATAATTATCAAAAATATAATATATTAAATCAAAGTCAAAATGCGCTAAAATTTTCAAAAAATAAAAAAACAATACTTAAGACTTGTATAGGCAATCTATTTATATAAATAGTAGAATATATAAATTAAAATGCTATATAAGACAATGATAATTCGTTATTTATCTCATTCAAATATAAATATTAATATATTATAAGACCAAAGAATTTATGATTTATTATATACGCATATATGTATGTAGAAGTATATTTATAGTATGATTTGAAAAAAAGTATGCGTTCTTATATATTGATTGGGGCAGGTCAGGGTAGGGCGGGGTGACACGGGTCAATATTAATACCCGGACCTGCCCCATTGTATGAGCAGGGCGGGGCGGACTCGTCCCATTTTCAAGACGGGGCGGGGCGGACCTGCCCCAAATGTTTCTGGCCAGGGCAGGTCGAGGGTTGGGTTTTTGACATGCCTAACTTCAAGGAGAACATGCTCACCAAATTTCATCAAAACGTTATACCCGAAAACTCCTCAAATGGTGGTGTCTAGACGAACTGATCAGAAGTTGGAACCACTGTCCAGTTGCCTTTGCTAGAGGTGATTTCGGGTAAAGTTTTTTGATAAATTATGTCTGATGAAACGGTTAGTAACACAAGGGGGGTGGGGTGAATTGTGTTTGTGTGGAACCGTACCAATTTTTCGCACAGTTCTAGTGTGGGGTCCAGGGAAATGCGAAATAGTAAGATACACAAGAATTTAACGAGGAAAAATCCCTTGGCTCAAAGGGATTAAAAATACCTCGACCTCCCTCGGAGGAATTTTAAACAATTTCACTAAAAAACCTTTTGTGGTTACAAGGTAAATTGACGTGCACTCGTCGTTAGGTGCACTCAAAATAATTAATCAATACAACACTAATACGTAGTATAGTGTAGTAAGGTTCGTATCCACAGGGAAAGGAATACTTTTCTTTTATATGAATAATAACAAAAGGGGGGTTTAGATTTGTTTGGTTTAATAACACTAAGATAAACGACCTATATGAGTTTAATTCAATGAGACGGGGACTTGGTTTTGCTTTTATCCACTTAGTGAAATGTTCGTCGATCCCGGTTATATCTTTAACTATCTTCCTCTCGAATACTCAATCGAGGAGTATATCCAGTTCATCGAGGGTAGTTATTAATAACGAGATGCGTTCATTAATAAAACTTACTATCGAGTCAATATAGAACAAGCGCCGTATATTAACTTGATAGTAGCAATAAACTTAAGATGAAAACGATTGAGATTGATAACCTCAACACAAGCGGTTTATTGGTTTAATCAATATAATTAATTCCCCTTGGCATATTAACCATGAGATGCATGCATTAATATTCCAAGTTTACTACCGTTGAAAGAACCGGATTAATAACAAGCGTATTAACCGATTGATTCTAGTAATAATTAATATGAGAAACAATACTAGTTGATACTTTAAGTAATGTTTAAGATATTAACATGAAATATGAATAGGAATTAATCAATACTCAAGGAAGAATATTAAAATATATGAATCCTACTATGATTAATATCAAGATGTTAACTAATTGTCATCTTAGCAACACTCCCCAATATAATCATAGAGGAAGAAATAGCTATTACTATAACCAATGTCAAGATGTTAACTAATTGTCATCTTAGTAACACTCCCCAACTTTGATATAGAGATAGTATTTTGAAAGAAAGAATTAATATTCAAAGAAGAAGATTAAAGAAAATAACTCACAACTTACAAATTCATTAAGCTTCAAAGTAGCAAAACCAAGATGGAAGAGTTTAGCTCCTCATTTGGAGACTAAACATGATGAAAAATATAAAGAAAGAGCTATTCTATACTGAGCTTAGATGTTCAAGGGATTGGATCTCTTTTTGTGAAGGAAAGGAGGTGTATTTATAGGTTTTTGGGATGAGATTCGAGTACTCGATCGGGTATATACATGGTACCCGATCGAGTATGTGTGTAACATCCGATCCGAGGCATACTCGATCGGTTTCAGGCTATTTTCTAAGTGTATACCCGATCGAGTATATATGAATACCCGGTCGAGTATGCTTAGAAAGTGATATTCGGGCTATACTCGACCGATCTTCGTTTGCAATTTAAAGGCATACCCGATCGAGTATATATGAATACCCGGTCGAGTATGCTTAGAAAGTGGTATTCGGGCTATACTCGACCGATCTTCGTTTGCAATTTAAAGGCATACCCGATCGGGTATGTCGGTCTACCCGATCGGGTATAGACATAGAATCGTGGCCAAAATCTTCCCTGCATGTTCCTTTGTCTTCGGATCTGATCCGATTTGAAGTTCCAACCTAATACCCGATCGAGTATAGCTAATACTCGACCGAGTATAGACCAAAATTCAGGATCTTCTTTTGTCTTTGAACTTTTGCACCTTCTCTTCACTTTTTGGGTTCACCAACTGTACTTTGGGTGATCAAAACCTGCTTAAGCTCAGAATATGTCTAATCTAACCTATTTACAGGATTTTAACAATCTAATCTATTACACCAAAAGTGTGTAATTTCCAAAGTAAAAGTCAAGCAAAACTAATTAAAAACATAAACATAGAAATGGAAATTACGAACATATCAACTCCCCCACACTTAAACCTTTACTCGTCTCGAGTAAGATCAAATGTTTACAAGTGTCAATGTTTGTCCAAAAGTTCCACAGTTCAACAAAAATATAATACAAACACAAAGACCACCAAGGATTACAAAGAAAAATGAGTTTTAAACTCAAATCACAAAAGAGCATCTTGGGTTTAATGGCCTCCTAGTGTTGTCTTCTTTTCTCCTCCTCTCTTCTTCTTTATCTTGAATCTTCATATTCTTCATAAGGATACAATGAGTGCCTGCAAGAACAAACATTTCTCTCATATCTCTCATTTTGCCTAGGAGCCTTTTCAGGTTTTCATCCTAGCACCTCTTTTCATTTTCCATTCTCTCTAACTCACTCATTTTTTTTATATAAGCCTTTTTTGCTTAGATTGCCCATTTTGTTGGGTTTTCA